CAAGCTCCTTTAATATTTGATAGTCTCTTGCTGCATCATCTGCATGAGCAGCATTTTTAAGAGGGGAGAAAAGGTGAAACCTACAAACTCTCCAGGGTCTGGTCATGATTTCTAGCTGTGAAACTTACAGTATTTGGGTATTTCATTCAACTCCCCACTTATGCTTACAAGTAACAGCTGGAGAAGCCGCTACCTCAAGGAGACAGCAAAAGGTATGGAATAAGAATGACCTAATTACTATAAATTTGCTGTGGGGCTTTGGGAGCAGTGTTAGAAACTCAGATATAGAAGCTAGGTGCCAAATGGCACCTTAAACTGGGGTTGCAGTTGCCAAAACAGAATGTTTAGTTGTCATTTTGGGGCAAGACGGATCTAGAATCTTATTTTTCAAATTATGGACTGATTGTGATCGATTATCAGTTAAACATCTGGCTAGTTCAGATGACAAGCTTGAGCTAGGTTAAGAACTTTGAGAACTTAACCTAAAAAAGTTACTTGATTAAGGGACAGTCCACATATATACAAGCCGATTCCTAAATCTTTTTCTTAATGGTCCATTCATAACATAAGAGTATTCTTCACAACTGTGAGCAGGTCAGTGGGATGGGGTAAGTGAAGACAAGTGAAAACCATTAACTATAACCTTTCCACTGCTCCTGCTCAGGCTGCACAGAAGCAGCATTTTGGTTCCTGAAATTCACTGATTGTGCAGATAAAATATAACTGATAGAATTTTACAGGATGTGGTATTAGTGTGTGAAAACAGTCCAGATCCAATGATCCCCAGGCATGCACCTCCAGGTGGAGATGTCAGGCCCCATCCTGGCACCCAGGCATCTCCACTTGGTCGCAGAGTAACTTATAGCCAGGTGCAAAATGCACCTGGAGCCTATAGAATTTTGAACACTATTTAGGGGCATAATGGAAATTCCTTTTCAACATACCATCATAGGAAAATTGGAGCATTAATATTTTTAAAATAGTATCCAGTGTGAATGTGACACCTATATAGTACCACTCATGGGACAGGTAGAATTTGCTGTGTTTCTCTGTTACATATATTCAGCGGCAACTCAGGCTTTATTACTGGATAATGCAGCAGCACTCACAGGCTCAGGAATAAGGTGGTTACAAAAATCTCAGTGAATTCCCAAATGAACAACTGATAGAAAGAATCCTACCCCCTGGGAGCATTATCCTTATACGCCTTTTATGTTCATATATATTACCCTGGCAGGTTTATAGCTGACCTTGTGTTTGTTTACATGCAAATTAATACCACTTAGTTCAATGAGACTTCCTTCCAAGTAATTATGCAAGGAATAACTAAGTTTGTGGACACCTTGAGAATTAACAGAATAAGCATTCATGGACTAGAGCCAACTTCATCCGATCGTTTGTAATGCACAAAGGCTTGTGCCACAAAATACATGCTAATCTCCAAAGTACCACAAGGCTATGGTGACTAACACAACTACCCACTCTGGAATTAACATAAAGGAGTACAGAAAGCCCTAATGAACTCTGGAACTCACTAAAAAGGAAGCATACCTAGGATTGAGCTGTCAGTTTGTCTAGTAAAGAGCATTCCCACGTCTGGTATGTTTACCTAGGTGCCTTACATCAGGAAATATATTTTCCAAAGTAAAAAAAGACTGTCTAAAAACTGTTTTTAGCCAAGCTGGCAAATACAGTCCCAACAGATTGCATATTTAATGGCAAAGTAATTACTGTTGCTTTTGAAATTAATTTCCTAGCTTGATTTTCATTGAAGTCAAAACTAGCAGCCCTAGCAGTACAGCAGAAAAAGGATGCAGCAATCCAGCATGAATATTTTATTATATTCCTAACACTCAGGGTGACCCCCCCCCCATTTTATATTCACAGCGATACTGTATGCTGGGGTTAACCTGGGAGCTGTGACTAGCCCAAGGTTACACAATGAGTTTCATGGCCAAGTAGGAATTTGAAATCAGTCCCTCTCCACCCAAATATCACTACATCATACATTATATATAAGCATACTCATTTTATACAGTTTACAATATACTAACTAAAAGATAACCAGTACATATTAATGGTAAAAGTTTCTGGCCATACACATATATTTATGAAAAATTGCTATGTTCATCCTGTATATTTAAAAATGTGACATCTTAATATTGGGGTCCCAATGACTGGATCTCCAGCCTTTGGCAGCCTGACATCATTCACCAGCAAATTAACAAGCATACACAATCTTTAACCCTCTATACCCTACCAAATTCCTGTTTTTCTCAGCAGTAATATAATAGCTAACTGGTCCTCTGTAAAATACACAGCCACAAACTCTCTGTAATCCAAAGGTATTTATACTGAAATTCTGAGTAATCTAAAGAGCTAACCAACATCAATTTTTTTCTTAGATAAAATAATTCACCTTACAATCAGAGTTCAAATGCTCTGATTTCCTATTCCCACTTGAGCTCACACATAGATCCAATATAAATTATGTAACGTATAGAAGATACAGTATAGCCAAATTCAAATGAGCCTTCATTTAATAACTTCAGCAAGCATGCAGGCCTTCTGTTAACTAAAGTTGTCCATTTCATCTGAACTGAACCAAGAACAATGGCTAAGGGCTTCAGAACAAGTCATTATATTATACCAGACTTTAGCTTTTTCTCCTGGCTTGTTCTGAAGCAATTAACGAGTATGCTTAACCTGGATAAGAGGCGATATGATAGCCATCTTTAACTATCTAAAGGGCTGTGTCATGGAAGATGGAGCAAGCTTGCTTTCTCCTGCTAAGGAAGGTAGGACCTGAATGGACCAATGGATTCAAGTTACAATAAAGGAGATTCCGACTACACATCAGGAAGAACTTTCTGATGGTAAGAGTTGTTCAGAAGGTGGTGGACTCTCCTTCCTTGAAGGTTTTTAAGCATAGGTTGGATGGCCATTTGTAAAGGATTCTTCAGCTGTGATTCCTGCAATGCAGGGGGTTGGACTAGATGACCCTCAGGGACCCTTCTATGATTCTGATTCTATTATTATTAATCCAAGATACGATCATCTGAATGCAGTCAATATACCTAGTTTTGACTGTAAGGTAAGCATATTAAATCCATATTTGATTATAAAGTAAGCATCTTTAGAAACGTTTTTTCTACAATACATGAGGAAATCTGTAGAAATTCTCACAAATATGGAAGTATAGCATAACATTTGGAGAAAAGAATAATTTGTGGCAAAATCCTGCTAATTTTTGTACTCTGTCAGGTTATTGATTATGGACAACACAGCAGAACTAGACTATGCATTAAAAAGTTAACTTAAACAATCATTTTTCCTTTGAAAATCAGAGAGCCATATAAATCAATTATCCTTCCTCAAAGGAATATTTGGTATTACATGTGCATATTATTTTCCTATGAAGATGCAATATGGTAAACAAATGCATAAAGCTTGAAGTTCAAGAATATACTTGCACATGGGTTTTTTGTTGTTTTTATCAAATGCCTTTCTAGGTCTCCCCTCCAATCCAGTTCAACTCCCCAAAATGTTCATCAAAGCAAGCAAATGCAGAGGAATTGTAAAAAATTGAGGCAGGATTCCTTTTCACACACAAATACAAGAAGCATTCTTCTACTTCCACTGCAGCAAAAAGAATAGTTGTGAGATGTCTGTGAACAAGTATTTCTTCTAACAGTATGTGAAACAGCTTCAGCAAATCAGCTGTAGAGTATCTGAAGCTTCTGCTCACCACAATACAGGAAGTGGGAGATGAGGGAAGAGACAAAAAAGAAATAAAATACTGAATAAACTGACCAATATATCCTATTTTTATTTTATTTTCAGATACAAAAATATAAAAATCTATTCCAGTCTGGTCTCTGAAATGGAAATTAACATTTCCTGAAATATGGGGAGCCTTTTCATTTTGCCCAAAATGAACTCATACTAATTCATATGGCTGAAAATACTTTTAAGATATGCAGACTTCACAGATGCAATAAAAAAAACTGTTCTTTGCAGGAGACCTGAACATTTCATACCTTTTGCATAAAGGGATATTAATTGCATATATTTCTGAGTATGCATGGTCATGATCAAGCTGTACATTTCACTTGCTTTATTCATCAGAACTTATGTCCGAAAACAGGTGTGCTCAGGAGTCACTCAACTTTTCCAAACTGATTGCTGGCTAAATATTATCTCACACACAATTACAAGGAAGCAAACTCCATTAAACTTGGTGGATAAGACCACACAGTTGCTATCTAAAATGTGTTATTTGCCAGCGGTGCAATCCTATACAGTACATGTCTACACAGAAGTAAGCTCCATTAAGTTCAATAGGCCTCTCTCAGGTAATTGTGTACAGGATTGCATTATTAATTACAGCTTCCAGCCTGATCTTAACTATGTTGACTGCTGTAAGTTCCACTCATTTCAACGTGGCTTACTCCCAAGTAACTATTTAGGTAGGATCGGAGACCTTGCTAAGGGAAAATCAACACTCCCAAACCAAGAATATCCAGTCCGCGATTGTAAAGAAGTCCCACCACTATCAATAGCACCAGCAGACAGACATAGGAATGGGCTGTTTGTTTACAATGGCCACACATTTCTTGGAAATTAATTGAAACAATTTTCCGAAGGTCTAATTCCCCCCAAATCACAAAATCTAATAAAGGCTGGTATGCTGTTCTTTTTTAAAAGAAAAACTTAAAAGCAATCCTCCATGAAACTGAAGGAAAGAGAAGCGTCCTCCCTGTGTTTGTGTGCACTGGCAAGCTCTCCCCTTTGCAAATTCCTCCATGTTCCAGCATTTGGGCAAGGAAGGAAGGAAGGAGCGAGCGAGCTGCGCCCCTTCCCGGGGCCTCGTCTCCAGGCCAGCCAGGCCTTGCCCTCCCCCAGAGGTGCGCACCGTACACACAAGCACACGACACGCGGACGTGCTGGGACCTTCCTTCCCCCGAAGCTCCGGGGCCACTTCGGGGCCTCCGCCTCACCTCTCGCCAGGGAGCACAAGCCGCAGACCAGGAGGCTCCTCAGGACGGCGCCCATCTTCGCTCCTCGGGCTCAGTCACCGGCGGCGGCGGCGGCGAGGCGGAGGAGGCGGAGAGCGGGGGCAGCGGGGGCAGCAGCACCTCGGCCGCCCTCTCATACTTTCGGGGTGCGGGGGGGGGCGGCAGGAAGCGAGGGAGCCGCACAAAAGGAACCGCCGCCCCGAACCGGGTCCTCTCTTTGTTTCTCTTAAAGGGCTGCTCGGCCCTCGGCCCCCGGCCAGGAGGGGGAGAGCGGCGGCGGGGAGAAGCCCTCGTCCTCCATGCCCGCTGCGAAGCCACCCGGCTGCTCCTCCTCAGGCCGCGCTCCTTCCTCCTCCTCCTCCTCGGGAAGCCGAGAGAAAGGCAAGGCGCAGCAGCAGCAGCAGCAGCAGCACAGCCCCTTCTCGGCCGCCGCCGCCGCCGCCGCCGCCTCCTGGATCCCCGGTGCAAAGCCAGGGAAGATCCCTCCTCCTCCACCTTCGGCAACTATGGGGCGCCTGGCACCTGGGCCCGCGAAGAGCCCCCCTTTTCTGGGAAGAGACGCCCCGAAGGCCGCCCCGCCAAGCTCCCCCGGGAAAGGGGGCGACGCGGCAGCCGCATTCCTGAGGGACTCCTTCGCCGCCTCGCTCGCTCGCTCGCTCGCTCTCGCCGCCAATCAGGCAATCAGGTCCTGGGCTCCAGAATCTCACGCTCTGGACCGGAGGAATGTCGGAACTACTTTCGGGGACGCGGGCTGCGCGGCGAGAGCGGCACAAAGAGCGGCGGCGGAGGAGGAGGAGGAGGAGGCGGAGGCGGCTTCCCTCTCTCTCTCTCTCTCTCTCTCTCTCTCGGCGGCGCTTGGTGAAGGTTCTGCGCGCGAGCGAAGGCGAGGCTCCAACCTGGCCAGCCAGGCAGGCGGCTTACATAACTGGACGGGAAAAGGGCGCGCCGAGGGGGGCCCAACACTGGGGGGGGGTCGTGCGTGCATGACGTCACACACGCCCCCCCCCGCCGGGCAAGGCCTCCCTGCGAGGGGCGCCCCAGCGCCTGCCGCCCCCCCCCGGCCCCCTCAGTCTCGGAGGGCGCAGCGCCCCGTTTCGAAATGCGGAGGGGGCTGGAGCCCCCTTCTGGCGCCCCTGCCGCTCACCTGGCAGGGTTGCTTTCAAGGAGATACCTACAAATTCACGTGCATTTCGGAAGTACTGCGCAGGTAACCCTAACGGGAGAACCAGCCTTGGCATTAGCTTTACCTAAACTCCAGCATGGCTGCACCTCCCTCCTTCAAACATCAAGACAATAATATTGGCTTATCTTTAAGAGGATCCATGTAAGGATTACTGCATCTATATGTATATGAATCTTAACAGTACTGAAAATGCTATATAAATGGTAAACATGCAATCTACAGAATTTCCCTGTTCTATACAGCTGTCCTCTTTTGGAATGGGATAAGATATACCATATTAATTGCAACTTATCCCTCCAGGTTCCAAGGCGTGGGTTGCACACAGTTTTAAAATCCCATCCTTGGGAGCAAAATTAAAAGCATAGGAATTGGGCTGTAAAACCTTGTTTTGAGCAAGTCTAGCTAGGAAATAAGCTAGCTCTCCCTTTCTTTCTTACTTCACTTAACAAAGAATCAGGCAACAACTTGGGAAGTAAATTTAAAAAAATATAATTTACTTGTTTATAATCGTGCATTGGTTCACAGCAGCAGCAGTAAAAACTATGCAGGCAAAATACTTATACTTTACAGTATATCACACTCTAACCAGCTTCAGGCATGTGATTAAAGCTAGAGCAAGTTGAGGCATGTCTGCATCGCAATACTGGTCAAAGTAAAAGAGAGGAATACGGTGGTACCTTGGGTTAAGAACGGTCTGGTTTAAGAATGATTTTGTTTACAAACTCCACAAAACCAGAAATAGTGTCTTGGTTTGAGTATTATGGCAACTCTGTGGGCCTTACCTGAGCCAAGTGCAACCCGTTGTTGACTGAAGCGGGGGTCGCTAAGGAGTTTGCGTCCTTTGGGTTGTGTACTTCTTGTAGGAAGGCAATGTGTGGTTTCATGGCGTTTACATATGAGGTGATGCATTTTCTTTTGATAGGGTTTCCCAGCCCCCACATTTAATGTAATTGCTTTTAAGCTTTTTTAATCTTGCTTATCTACTTTATAGGATGATTCCCTGCCAACTCGTCTGGGTTGCCCTGTGGACAAACGTCGGCTCCCTCGGCCAGTAAAGCGAGATGAGTGCTGCAATCCCAGAGCCATCCGTGACTGGACTTAACTGTCAGGAGTCCTTGACCTTGACCTTTAAAGGACCACCGCGGGGGGCATTACTATTGAAAGTGGGTGGGGAGGTTTATGTAGGTATGTATGTGATTTATTATTATTACTTGGGGGAGAAAAGAAAAGAGAGGAGAGGGGGGATGGAGGGGGGAATTTAATTATTATTATTATTATTATTATTATTATTATTATTATTATTATTATTTATACCCCGCCCTCCCCAGCCAAGGCTGGGCTCAGGGCAGCTAACAAGCAATAATAAAAACAAGTTGAATGAATACAACTTAAAAACAAGATTAAAATACAACAAATACAAAAAAAATACAAATATTAAAATGCAGCCTCATCACAGGAGGAGAAAGGAAAAAGAAAGGGGGAGTGAATCAAATTGGCTCCAAGCCAATGACCAGGCAGAACAACTCTGTCTTACAGGCCCTGCAGAAGTCAGATCCTGCAGAGCCCTGGTCTCATGAGGCAGAGCGTTCCACCAGGCCGGAGCCAGTGTTGAAAAGGCCCTGGCTCTGGTTGAAGCTAATCTTAATTTCCTTAGGACCCAGGACCACTAGGGTGTTGCTATTTATGGACCTTGAGGCTCTCCATGGGGCATACCGGGAGAGGCGGTCCCGTAGGTATGACGGTCCTAGGCCGTGAAGGGCTTTAAAGGTCAAAAGCAGCACCTTAAATCTGACCCTGTACTCCACCGGGAGCCAGTGGTCCCATGCCATCCTGACCCAGCCATAGGACCTTTGTCTTCGAAGGATTTAGTTTCAGTCGGCTCCCACGAAACCATCCAGCCACAGCTTCCAAGCATCTGGTCATTGTGTCCGGGGCCGAGTCGGTGTGGCCATCCATCAGCAGATAGAGCTGAGTGTCATCAGCATATTGGTGACAGCCCAGCCCATAGCTCCAGACAATCTGGGCAAGGGGGCACATAAAGATGTTAAAAAGCATCAGGGAGAGGATTGCGCCCTGCGGCACTCCACACACCAAGGTGTGGCACGACAACATCTCCCTCCCTAGTGCCACCCTCTGTCCCCAACCAGAGATAAAAGAGCACAGCCATTTACGGGCTATGCCCTGTATCCCCATGTTGGCGAGGTGGTGGTCCAGAAGATCATGATCAACCATGTCAAAGGCTGCTGACAAATCTAAAAGGATTAGTAGTCCTGACCCGCCTCGATCCAGTTGTCTACGGAGATCATCTGTTAGGGCAACTTTAGGATCCAGTACATCCCGGGAGAGCAGAACATGAGAGCGGATGCACTATCTCGCAAACTGGAGTACTGGGAGGAAGAGAGACCTCCCGTGGCCAGGCTCATGTTCCCAGAGGACAAATGGACTTGTGGAGGTGCACTGGCAAAGGAAGCTGAACTAATGCAACTGACCAGACATGATGCCTTTGCTCAGAGGAAGCTGAACAAACTCAAGGAGGGAGTGGGAGCAGAGGGGGGCTTTGAGGAGAAAGGGGGGCTGTTGTTCTACTGGGGTGCACTGTATGTGCTGGGAGAGTCCCTAAGGGCCAAAGTTCTCAAACAGCTCCATGACAACCCTACTGCGGGGCATTTTGGGCAACACAAGACCATGCTGTTGGTTACGATCGACTTTTGTTGGCCCAAAGTGAGGGAGGACATGCGGGAATATGTGTGAGGTTGTGACACATGTCAGAGGGCGAAAGGAGAGAGGGCAGCTCCGGCTGGGTTACTAGAACCTTTGCCCACACTCAGGAGGCCATGGGAGGTGGTGTTCATAGACTTTATAACGGACCCGCCCACATCCAGAGGTAAGATGGCAGTCATAGTCATGGTGGATCTGTTGACCAAGATGTGTCACTGTGGCATGTTTCCATGCAGTGACAGCGGAGGAGACCGCCAAGATGTTCATGGAGCACATTTTTCGACTGCATGGGGTTCCTTCAAGGGTAATTTCTGATCGGGGGAGGCAGTTCACCTCATGTTTTTGGCACAAGCTCATGAGTTTGTGGCAGGTAGAGGTGAGCTTCTCAACAGCGAGGCACCCAAAACCAATGGACAAGCCGAGAGAGCAAATGCCATTTTGCAGCAGTACTTCTGCTGCTGTGTCAGTCAGAGACAGAATGATTGGGTGGAGAGGTTAGCACTGGCAGAATTCACCTACAACAACACTGAAAATGTGTCCACAGGGATGAGTCCCTTTCTTGCAAATTACGGATGTCACCCCAGGGCTTTTCCAGGGCAGGGGGGGGGGAGACGTGGAGTGTGCCGGCCACAGAACAATTTGCAGAAGAGATGGAGGCCATACACCAACAGCTCAAATTGAACCTGGAGAGGGCCAAAGAGGTGTGCAGAGGCAGACAAGCATCAAAGACCGGGGGAGGTCATCCAGGTGGGGGATAAGGCGTGGTTGTCAACTTCTTTCTTGTAGTTTGGATCCATTGCTCCGTGTCCGCTTCTCTGGAGCAGCAGAAAACAACCTTTCTCCCTCCTCTATGTGACATCCTTTTATATATTTGAACATGGCTATCATATCACCCCTTAACCTCCTCTTCTCCAGGCTAAACATGCCCAGCTCCCTTAGCCGTTCCTCATAAGGCATCGTTTCCAGGCCTTTGACCATTTTGGTTGCCCTCCTCTGGACACGTTCCAGTTTGTCAGTGTCCTTCTTGAACTGTGGTGCCCAGAACTGGACACAGTACTCCAGGTGAGGTCTGACCAGAGCAGAATACAGTGGCACTATTACTTCCCTTGATCTAGATGCTATACTCCTATTGATGCAGCCCAGAATTGCATTGGCTTTTTTAGCTGCCACGTCACACTGTTGGCTCATGTCAAGTTTGTGGTCAACCAAGACTCCTAGATCCTTTTCACATGTACTGCTCTCAAGCCAGGTGTCCCCCATCTTGTATTTGTGCCTCTCCTTTTTTTTGCCCAAGTGCAATACTTTACATTTCTCCCTTTTAAAGTTCATCTTGTTTGTTTTGGCCCAGTTCTCTAATCTGTCAAGGTTGTTTTGAAGTGTGATCCTGTCCTCTGGGGTGTTAGCCACCCCTCCCAGTTTGGTGTCATCTGCAAATTTGATCAGGATGCCTTTGAGTCCATCATCCAAGTCGTTGATAAAGATGTTGAATAAGACCGGGCCCAAGACAGAACCCTGTGGCACCCCACTAGTCACTCTTCTCCAGGATGAAGAGGAACCATTGATGAGCACCCTTTGTGTTTGGTCAGTCAGCCAGTTACAAATCCACTGAGTGGTAGCATAGTCAAGACTGCATTTTACCAGCTTCTTTACAAGAATATCATGGGGCACCTTGTCAAATGCCTTGCTGAAATCAAGGTAGGCTACATCCACTGCGTTCCCTTCATCTACCAGGCTTGTAATTCTGTTAAAAAAGGAGATCAGGTTAGTCTGACATGACTTATTTTTTAACTCATTGAGGAGTTCAGCCCTTTCTGTGTCCCCTGTTTGCATTTCACCATCTTCTCCTCTGAGTGACCCCACTGTTTCTTTGTTCTTCCTTTTGCTACGGACATACCCATAAAAAGCCTTTTTTGTTGCTTTTAACCTCTCCAGCAAGCCTGAGTTCATTCTGTGCTTTAGCTTTTCTGACTTTGTATCTACACGTGCTGGCTATTTGTTTGAATTCCTCTTTGGTGGTTTCCCCCCTTTTCCATTTTTTGTACACATCCTTTTTTAATCTTAACTCAGTTAAAAGTTCTTTAGATAGCCACCCTGGCTTCTTTAGGCACCTTCCATGTTTCCGTCTCATTGGTATTGCCTGAAGTTGTGCTTTTACTATCTCCCTCTTAACAAACTCCCAGCCATCATGAACTCCCTTTCCTTTTAGTATTACTGTCCATGGGATCCCACCCAGCTCTTCCCTAAGTTTTATTAAGTCGGCTTTCTTAAAGTCAAGAAATTGAGTCCTAGTATGCTTGGCTGCTCCTTTCCGCTGTATAGTAAACTTCAGAAGAGCATGAGCACTCACGCCTAATGATCCTTCCACTTCTACCCCACTAACCAGGTCCTCAACATTGGTTAGGACCAGATCTAAAATGGCTGTTCCTCTTGTTGCTTCTCCCACTTTCTGGACAATGAAGTTGTCTGCAAGGGCCAGTGAGGAATCTGTTTGACCTTATGCTCTTGGCTGAGTTTGACATCCAACAAATATCCGGGTAATTGAAGTCCCCCATTACTACTATCTCCCTTCCTTTTGCATGCTTGGCCATCTGTTCCAGGAAGGCATCATCTATGTCCTCCGTTTGGCTTGGGGATCTATAGTAAACTCCCACAATGAGGTCTCTGTTATTCTTCTCTCCCTTAATTTTGACCCAAATGCTCTCACTTTGGCTTTGAGGTTCTAAATCTTAGATCTCTTCACAGGTATACACATCCCTGACATATAACGCCACTCCTCCTCCTTTCTTGTCTGGTCTGTTTCTCTGAAATAGATTGTATCCCTCCATTATTACATTCCAATCGTGGGACTCATCCCACCAGGTTTCAGTGATGCCTATTATGTCATATTTAGTTTGCTGTACCAAGAGCTCAAGCTCATCTTGTTTATTTCCCATGCTTTGCACATTAGTGTACAGACATTGAAGTCCATTAATCATTCCCCCGTGTCTCTTATTTAAGGATTTTTTCCTCCCACCACTAGGTCTGCGTGCTGTTTGCTCCATTTGGTCTATGACATTTGGATGATCATCTTAATCAATTGATAGACTCCTACCTTCAGGAGCACTGTCTCCCTCCCCCACATTAGTCAGTTTAAAGCCCTCCTGATGAGGTTTCTGAGATTTTTGGCAAAAACATTCCTCCCAACCGTTGTGAGGTGCAGCCCATCGCTTGCCAGAAGTCCATCTTCAAGAAACTGCAGTCCGTGATCTAAGAATCCAAACCGTTCCTGTTTACACCATTTGCGAAGCCAGCTGTGTACTTCCACTATTTTCCCCTCTCTCCCTGGGCCACGTCGTTCAACTGGGAGGACAGATGAGATGACAATTTGTGCATTTAATTGCTTCAATTTCCTGCCCAGAGCCTCGTAGTCTCTTTTGATCTTCTGGAGGCTATTGCTTGCAGTGTCATTGGTTCCCACATGAACCAAGAGGAAGGGGTATTTGTCAGTGGGTTTTATGATTCCTTGCAGTCGTTCAGTTACATCTTGGATCTTAGCCCCGGGGAGACAGCACACCTCCCGAGACATCTTGTCAGGCCCACAGATCACTGCTTCTGTTCCCCTCAGTAGGGAATCCCCTATCACCACTACACGCCTCCTCTTAGGTTTGGTCGGGGTTATTCCGTGAGCTGTCCGTTCCAAGGTCGCCTGCACATTCCCTGAGGACTGACTTTGCTGCTCGTCTTCATATACCTGATCGACTGTAATGAGGGAGAGATCCTCAAATGGAGTCTGTTCTTCGTCTTCCATGCTAGGGGAGAGGACTTCAAAGCGATTGTGTATTTCTAAACAATCAGAGCGAACCCTGGGCCTCCTACTTCTTTGAGTCACGTTTCTCCATATATCTGGCACCTGTGTTGGTGAACTAGCCTCCTTCTCAGGGGTGTCCCCTGTCTCCTCCTTGGTGGAGACGGAGTTCTCTGTTGCTTCCAAGAAGATCTCCAGCTCTCTAATTCTTTGTCTTCTATTAGTTTTCTAGGGAGTTTCCAGCACTGTTCAAGATGGTTCAGCTTTTGTGTCTGCTCTCTGCTTTTGACTCTGGGTCTCCTAAAACTACCAATCTATTTTCCTCTATTGCACATAAACAGTCAGGGGGAGGTGGGAAGGAAGTCCTTACCTCTTTTGCCATACGGGCTGTCAGCTTCCTAAAATGCCTCCATCTATTTAGTTTCAGTGGCTACAGCCACTAGCTTGCATTTCAGAAGGGGTTGCTTAACAGATTTGGCAAGGGCTGTTTACTTCACAAAAGAACTGGATTGCCCATTTTAGCCATCCTCCTCTTCTGCATAAGCCACTCCTGCAGCTATATTATAACATCACAGGGCTGGAGGGCATCCCAAGAGCTAGAAAAGGTTATAAGAAATAGGCTTGAAAAAGGAAAGTCCTGGCTAGAAAGTTGTACGTAGGGCAGGCAACTGCTTTTCAATTGCTAAATTATTCAGCAGAATTATTAAAACATCTGAAGAAATTTCTTATTATTGTACTGGAATTACTTTAGGCTTCATTGGCGAAACATACTTTTTTCTTTGTTAATGAGAGTGTTTTAACCACCAAGCCCTGAAACATTATTTGTTTGAGCTTACAGAACATTCAAGAACATTCAGCACATGGGTTGTATTAACTATCATGCGAGTCCCTTTTAAACAACAGCAACTGCAAACAGCTTTCTTCTTAGAACTCTATAGAGGAATTCAACATTCTGCCCTGCACATCTCAGGAGACTGTAGACTGCACCTTTAAAATGAAATAATTATATATGTATTGTAATTTATTTCTAGTATTGTAGTATACGTAGATCGGAACAATGGCGGAAGTTCATGCCTCTCAGCTTTGCAGATCAATCCTATTAAGCATGTTAGTGCTGTGGTCTAAACCACTGAGCCTCTTGAGCTTGCTGTTCGGAAGGTCGGTGGTTTGAATCCGTGCAATGGAGTGAGCTCCAGTTGCTCTGTCCCAGCTTCTGCCAACCTAGCAGTTCAGAAGCATACACAGTGCGGTGGGAAGGTAAACTGCATTTCTGTGCGCTCTTGCACTCGTCATGGTGTTCCGTTGCGGCAGAAGTGGTTTAGTCATGCTGGCCACATGAACCGGAAAGCTGTCTGTGGACAAACACTGGCTCCCTCAATCTGAAAGTGAGATGAGTGCCGCACCCCATAGTCGCCTTTGACTGGACTTAAGCATCCAGAGGTCCTTTACGTTTACCTTTATCTTTTAACCTTACAGGAGTAAAACCCACTGTTTAAATGTGAAGACAGACATGATACTTTTAAGTGTCCAAAGTGTACCTTCACACTCCTGGAACACACATACATTTTTCTGCTCAAGATCAAGATCTATACACTGGTGGTGGTGGTATTGAACTCATCTTTTCAAGTGCCATGACACTACCTACCTCTTCTTCAACATCAACTCTCCAAGCTGTTTTGAAATTATTTTTAAGGTGTTTATTAATTGGAGGGGGCATCAGATATATTATGTACATATGCATGTGATCATTTATTTTTTGAAACAAAACAGCAAAGCAGCAGCCAAAGGCTTTGGACATGCCTTCTGGCTTCCTACTCATTCTGTTAATAATGTCATGAATAAACAACACATGACATGGCACCATGGTGCTGTGAAATTCACTGTGGCGGATCAGTTTCATTGGCTTCCACTTATGGGGGACGGCAGCAGAAACAGCCTAGATACGAGACACCTGAAATACAGCCTCACATGACCCTGAGGCATGTGTCAACAGACCTAAACTTTTTATACAATCAAAACTGAAGGAATGGGTTTCCCAAACCCCAAAACTGACTGTGCAGGCAGTTTTTAAACTGCACCAAAATCCCCATTTCTCCTTAGCTAAAATGCATAAACTTTAGCCGTTGAGCAAATGCAAAACAAGAACACAGCTCTCTCCCTTATCAGTTTGACGGCAAGACTGGCCTTGACTTTACCAGTAGAACAGACACAGACATATCTTATGTCTTGGCCACAAATGACGCAGAGACCCAAGTCTGGGACTAACGCCAGAGCATGTTCTCGGAAGTAGTGACCTCTTGCTCCAAGATAGGAGTAGGAACAGGAATATCCTTTTATGGTCAGAAGTACAGGAAGGAAGATCCTTTTATGGTTGAGAGTACCAGAGCAGGAACATATGTGATGTCAACCTGTGTACGTACGACGGCGTGGTTGGGCTCCTAGGGGAGGAGTGAGAGGGTGCCTGGAGGATATATAAACTGCATGAAACCTGTCATTTCTTTGGACTTGCTGGGGACTAATCACGCAAGTGCCTTCTGCTATCCGGAGAGCAGAATAAACTCTTTCTTTGAACCAACCTCGGTGTCATTTTGACTTCCTTCCTCCTGTCCCGGAGCAACGCAGACCCAATCAGTGTACTCCAATAAGGCTACAAAACCATCTATTTCAGTTGAGCCTGGGAAAGCAACCCCTCTATGACCCCTATATTCTGTACCATAAAATTCAGGGTATTGAATTCTGAACCTGTTGCATTTTCCAAAGGAAATCCCATGTTGAGCACATTACAATAATCAAATCTTGTCATTACCAGGGAATGTATCACAATATCAAATTAAAACATAGGCACATTATAATTTATGAGAAAATGAATGATTAGACCAGCTTTCTCAACCTTGGGGGGGGGGTGTCTCCAGATGCTGGACTACAACTTCCACCATCCCTGAACACTGCTCCTGCTAGTTGGGATGCTGCGAGTTGAAGACCAACAACATCTGGGGACCCAAGGTTGAGAGGCTGGACTAAACCTTAGAATTCCATTCTTATAATAATTTTGATTATGTTTTCTAGCAACTTTTGCTCATTTTTCTCATTTTAGTGTTTACGAAAAACACAATACCTTTAAGATGATCTCAAAGTAACTTACACAGAACAAAATATCTATTTAATCACAGCACATTAAGAGATCTTGCCTTTGAACAATTAAGTTTTACATTCAATTTTTCTTCTTTTCAGCATAAAGCTTCAAAACAATCCCCTCACCCACTGATTTGTAGGCACTTGTGGTCTATCACACTTGTGGGAATACAGGAAAATATACAATCAGCACTTTGTAACAGTTGTGGGATTTTGATTTTTCACCACAACGTTAAGAACTATGGCATTATTTTGATCTTATAGATGGAGCTGCAATTCCCCTCGAAGACCATGTCTGCAGCTTGAAGTGCTCTTGAGCTTGTTGCTTGTAGCAGTGGCTCGGACCGCATTCTATCATCTCAGGCTTGTACATCCCCTGTGGCCACCAGCTGCTGCCCTAACTTGGGTGGCATAACCTGACCTTGATCACCTCTGCTCTGTTATTTTCAACTGGATTATTGCAATTTGAACTAACTGGGGCTGCTTCTAAAGATGGCTAAGAACCTTCAGCTGTTGCAGCAGGTTGCAGACTGGACTGGATATGTGACACCAATTTTGGGTCAATTGCATTGGCATTTATTAATATTTAAGACCTTAAATGGTTTGGGACCAGGTTACCTAAAGGACAGCCTGCACATGTCTGACTCTGCCCATAATCTAAGTTCTGCTTGGATAACTCTCTGGATAACACAGAAGAGTGTATGAGACTTTGTACCAGCTACAACAGTTTAACATCAAAGCACTAGAAACATCTGTTGGGTATATAAATTGAAACAGACTAGCTAAAACAAAATTTAATACCATTCCAAATAATGAAAACGTAGAATACAAATCAGTGTTACCGTAAGCCCGGATGTATTGCTATTAGAATATATTCTAAGACACACAAATTTCCAAGAGGAAATTTAAATAAATTATTATTTAGATAATAGATTTCTAATAGGAAATTAACCATCAGATTTGCTAATTTAAGAAAAGTGGGAGCATAAATTTAAGGATTTAAAAGATAACAGAAGAATGGTAACCGGAATGAGATAGCTCAAATTGTGGAAGGATGGTTACCACCATGGTTTCAATATTTCCAGCAAAGGAGTATTGCTTTTGGCAGCTATAAGTCCTACATGGATGATAATGAAGATGACAGCATGAGCATGGGAAGTGCTAATAAAAATAATAAGTTGAAGGGTCTGCTAGCAAAAGAACCCCAACCCCCCTGTGGGCTGTTGGTGGAGTCAGTAGCCAGGTTAAGGTGGGGAGCGACAACTGGATTTCACCATCTAAGACTCAAGACAACCCTGGATGTAGTGTTTTGTGAGATATCACCGAGTTGATCAATATGTTAAGCTCAATTTAAACTTTTGCTGTTGGTATTTACGGTAAGTCCCATCAGGCTGAATGGAATGTATAAAGATTCTAGGTTCGAATGCTAGACGTGTTTTGCAATAAACATGCATCTAACACATATCTGGTGTGATTGCCAGTGTACCTCTGAATTTTGGAGATGAGTCTTGCATCGCATAATGTGAGACTCTATCCTATGTTGATTTTATTTAATTGGATCAATGAGAAGGTATCTGCAGAATCAGTAAAGATTTTCTTGACTGCAGCAGTGGAAAGATTCTCCAACCATATGGGAATGGCTAAGGAAGTGTCTTGCATGAGCAGAAATGGACAAATTGACCTATTTGATTTATAAGAGGAATGATATGTTCTATAATTCAAATTTACAAAACATAATTTGGGCATTTTTTATATATTGCGATGCTGATTTTAGTAATATCATATTTATTCGTGTAAATTGTTATTTCTGGGTAAATCATGATTTTATAAATAAAGACATATTTGTTTTGAAAAAGATCTGATTCTTAGGTGGTATTGGTTATGCTGGTGAGCATATGGGACAGGGTCTTAACTCTTCCAGTTAATGTTTGCTTGGCCCCTTCAGTTCTAGAATTCAATAAAACCTTAAACATTTTTTGTTGTTGCCTTGCCTTTACAGAGCTTAGGTCAGTGAACATGTGTATTGCCACAGGTTCTTCATCTCTGGCTTAGAGGCTTCTAGCATTAGCATATTATAAGCCACTGGAAACAGCGACTCCCTCCAGCTACCTCTGGCACATGCCTTTTATGCTATGAAGCTTTGGTCTCTTTGAACTTCTTGTAACATAGCCTGCATTTTCATTGCTGAATTCTTCCCCTCTCTCATTTGGAAGTTGCATGTTCCTGTGGTCTGGTGACTAGAAGTACCACACGCATGCTGTGACACACTGCTCAGATTTAAGAGTGTGCATGTCAAGCAAACCATTTTCACTTGTTTCAAGTCCATGTTTCATAATCAAATTACTTTTGAACTTTCCACAAATACAGAGACTCTTAGTGAGGTCTGCCTCGAGCAGTTTGCCAGGCCAAAAGATTTTTCCAAGAACACTGATTGACAGGATGCTCCTCAGATCCTGCTATGAGTAGTCTGCTGCTATGCCAAGAGTCACACCAATCCTGATTCCCAGTGCTCTCTTAGTAGTAAGGAAAACATTCACTGCAGAACAAAGGCCACCATTGCAGTACCAGCAGACTGCGCCACCACATTTCTGGAAACTCCCAACACCACCCACTAATATAATGTTGTTTACGGGGGCATCATAGTAGCCATGTGCAGAAAACACCCATCAATATATACTATGGTGGCCTAATGGACCCAGGACTTTACCTAACCCAGTTCTCACATGGCATATAACCAGGCAGCCAGGAAAGTATCAGTGCTACTCTTTGCGCAAACTACCACAGTGCTGCAGGTAGGAGGCCTGCATGAAGAACTCCAGTTTTGCAGGAGAAAAGTATGAGACTCGCTGCCCAAACCACACAGTGCTGCCTTGCCCCACAACTGGGCAGATGTTCCATTTATATAATCATAGAAGTGTAGAGTTGGAATGCGTTTCTGGTTCTTCGAAGAGGAAAGCAATTTTTCTCCCCTGGATTTTCCATATGATAAGAGTTGCCAGATCTCCAAGACCAAAAAGGAGGGCGGGGGGGTGGTCTGGCAGAGCCTGGCTCAGCAGGGGAGCTGCGGGCTCGTCCCTGACTGCCCGCCCCTCGAGGGGCAAGTTTCAAGGCGCTCCCGCCATGCCTCCTGCTCCCCCTCCCAGGCCGCCTCGGCGCGGGGGTCGGCTAGGCGGAGGCGGCTCTGGGCTGCCTCGCCCCGGCCGGGGAGCGCCTTCCGCGCAGTCCAGCAAGCGCGTGCGCGCAGACTCCCCCCCCCCCCGACGCAAGTGTTCCATTTTAAGGCGAGAGTTTGATGGCGGGGGGGGGGGCGGGGCTCCTTCCTGTGCTCTGGGGATCGCGACCCCCGCCCTCCTCCTGGCGGGGAGCAGGCGCGGCTCCTTGGGGCGCGGGAGACGCGGCATCTCGGGCCGCCCGGGCCGCCCCCCCTTCCCCCCGCTGCTCCCCCGCTCGCCTCCGCCTCTCGCCGCCCCAAGGCGGACACTCCCCTCGCGACCCCCCAGGAGGAAGAGGCGAGCCGGGATGGGGGGCGGCCTGCCGGCTTCCCCCTCGCTCCCGCTGTCACCACCATGCCGCCAACCAAACCCGGACATTTTGCAAAAATCAGAAAAAGCCGCCAGGTTGTCGATTTCACACCCGGACAACCCCCCCCCTTGTGTCCGGGAAATTCCGGTCACATGGCAACATAACCATGTATGATGGTGTGCTATTATGTGCCACAGAGTCTGTCAAAATCCTATCCTTGATTGTAACTGTGAGGACAGTAACCTGGGGCTCTTTCTTTACTCTCATTGGAATGTTTCAACTTGCAGTGTAAGCAAGGCTACCTTCGTGTTGGGGGGCAGAACTTGCTCCTGGGTGGGATGTCCTCCCCCTCCCCTCCGCCCATCTCCTGCCTTAGCAAATCCAGGTTGTCAGGGCTGTGCAGTGGCTGCTTCTCACCCACACAAGGATATTGCTCTAGTAGTGTAACTTCTCCACCAGTCCAGTGCTGCACCCCATTGGTGCAAGGTTTCATTTCGAACAACTCTCTTCCACCCAGCAGACTTGAAATGAGGATAATGAGCTATGAATTATTGGGGGGGGGGTGTGCACAAACATATACACAATTTAACAGAAAAAGTTACTCAAGGTCTATTTGAGTAAAACTTAGTTGACTACCCATTTTCTATTGTTCAGCATTCAGCCGGTGTTGCTTTATTATATATCCTTGTTTGAATATTCATTTTATGCTTCATATAAAAAAGACTAGTTCAAACCCAAGATACAATTTTGGTTTGTAATCACAAACATTTGGATCTCTTTTCTGAAGGGGCCTAGAATGTGGGGTTTTTGTAATTTATTCTGTCTTTACAAAATCTTTTTTTTTTGGTCATTTTTTAGTTTACTGACCTGTTTGCATTTTGTATATCTGTATTTCTAATGCTCTGTATTTCGGTGTTTTGAATGTTTTCTGTAAACTTCTTCAGGCACAGCTCATTGTGGAAAAGTGGCATTTAAATAAACTCAATTAATCAACATTTGAATAAATTGTTTTTAAAGTCTCTTATAAATAATACCTTTAAGCTGGGGAAAATTGCACAAGGAACCATGACTTTAGACAATAGCTTTTGAAATTATTAAGTACTGTTATAGACAGGATAAACCTAGAAATTAATAAATGCTAGGATTTTGGTTCCCCTTCATGGATCACTGCCTTGCTGTGGTGAAGGGGCTTGAATAACTCAGAGAAGCTATGAGCTATGCCGTGCAGAGCCACCCAAGACGGACAGGTCATAGTGGAGAGTTTTGACCAAACGTGATCCACCTGGAGCAGGAACCGGCAAGCCACTCCAGTATCCCTGCCAAGAAAACTCCATGGACAAAGGAAACAGGCATAGAAAAGTTATGACGCCGGAAGATGAGCTCCTTAGGTCGGAAGGCGTCCAACATGCTACTGAGGAAAAGCGGAGGACAAGTACAAGTAGATTCAGAGCTGATGAAGCGGCTGGGCCAAAGCCGAAAGGACGCTCAGTTGCGGATATGCCTGGAAGCGAAAGGAAAGTCCAATGCTGTAAAGAAAAATATTGCATAGGAACCTGGAATGTAAGAACCATGAACCTGGGTAAGTTGGAGGTGGTCAAAAATGAGATGGCAAGAACAAATATTGACATCCTGGGCATCACTGAACTAAAATGGACAGGAATGGGCGGATTCAGTTCGGATGACCATCACATCTACTACTGTGGGCAAGAAACCCGTAAAAGAAATGGAGTGGCCCTCATAGTCAAGAAAAGAGTGGCAAAAGCTTTACTGGGATGCAATCTCAAAAATGATAGAATGATCTCGATACGAATCCAAGGCAGACCTTTTAACATCACAGTAATCCAAGTTTATGCACCAACTACTGGTGCTGAAGAAACTGAAATTGACCAATTCTATGAAGACTTACAACACCTTCTAGAAATGACACCAAAGAAGGGTGTTCTTCTCATTATAGGGGATTGGAATGCTAAAGTAGGGAGGCAAGAGATAAAAGGAACAACCGGCAAGTTTTGCTTTGGAGTTCAAAACGAAGCAGGGCAAAGGCTAATAGAGTTCTGCCAAGAGAACAAGCTAGTCATCACACTCTTTTCCAACAACACAAGAGACGACTCTACACATGGACATCACCAGATGGGCAGCATCGAAATCAGATTGATTATATTCTCTGCAGCCAAAGTTGGAGAAGCTCTATACAGTCAGCAAAAACAAGACCTGGAGCTGACTGTGGCTCAGATCATCAGCTTCTTATAGCAAAATTCAAGCTTAAACTGAGGAAAGTAGGAAAAACCACTGGGCCGGTAAGATACAATCTAAATCAAATCCCTTATGAATAGGTTTCCTGTGAGGAACAGGTTTAAGGATTTAGATTTGTTTTTTTTTAAAAAATATTTATTACCTTTCCAACAATTTAAACACTACAAAAAAAGAACAATACAATACAATACAATACAATACAGAAACACTACACAACACCAACACACCAAACTGACAAAACAAAACAAAAACAGTTTAAAACACATCAAACAATTTCAATATCCTATCCTTCATTCACTTATTTCAATGACCTCCTCACACCTCCCTTCTTGTATTCCACTTCTATTAATTGTTTCTATTAATCTATTTATACTTAATTCCTTATAACATTTCTACTAAAGCCATATAACTTCATTCCAACATTCTTCTAACATTCATTAATTTTGCAATATTTCTGTAAATAGTCTTTAAACTTTTTCCAGTCTTCTTCCACCGACTCTTCTCCCTGGTCTCGGATTCTGCCAGTCATTTCCGCCAGTTCCATATAGTCCATCAACTTCATCTGCCATTCTTCCCGGGTGGGTAAGTCTTGTGTCTTCCAATGCTTCTAGATCCAACACTTCAGTGTTTTCAAGAACCAGCCATTCTCTCAGCCAGCAAAAAGCAGCTGTTAAGGATTTAGATTTGGTGGACAGAGTGCCTGAAGAACTATGGATGGAGGCTCGTAACATTGTACAGGAGGCAGCAACGAAAACCATCCCAATGAAAAGGAAATGCAAGAAAGCAAAGTGGCTGTCCAACGAGGCCTTACAAATAGCGGGGGAGAGAAGGCAAGTAAAATGCGAGGGAGATAGTGAAAGATACAGGAAATTGAATGCAGATTTCAAAAAAATAGCAAGGAGAGACAAGAAGGCCTTCTTAAACGAGCAATGCAAAGAAATAGAGGAAAACAATAGAATGGGAAAAACCAGAGATCTGTTCAAGAAAATTGGAGATATGAAAGGAGCATTTCGTACAAAGATTACCATAATAAAGGACAAAAGTGGTAAGGACCTAACAGAAGCAGAAGACATCAAGAAGAGGTGGCAAGAATACACAGAGGAATTATACCAGAAAGATGATGTCTCGTACACCCCAGGTAGTGTGGTTGCTGACCTTGAGCCAGACATCCTGGAGAGTGAAGTCAAATGGGCCTTAGAAACCACTGCTAATAACAAGAGCGCTCGAAGGGTTGAGGGAGCTGGGTTTGTTTAGCCTGGGAAAGAGGAGACTGAGAGGAGATATGATAGCAATCTTCAAATATCTTAAGGGCTGTTCCATGGGAAATGGAACAAGCTTGTTTTCTCCTGCTCTAGAGGGTAAGACCTGAAGCAATGGATTTAAATTATAAGAAAGGAGATTCTGACTAAAGATCATTAAGAGTTGTTTGACCATGGAACAGACTCCCTCAGAAGGTGGCAGAGGCAGACTCTCCTTCCTTGGAGGTTTAGAAGCAGATGTTAAATGGCCATCTGTCAAGGTTGCTTTAGCTGAGATTACTGCATTGCAGGGAGTTGGACTAGATGACCCTTAGGATCCCTACGATTCTATTATTTTACATAAAAAGGTAAAGGACCCCTGACAGTTAAGTCCAGTCGCGAATGACTCTGGGGTTGCGGCACTCATCTCACTTTACTGGCTGAGAGAGCCGATGTTTGTCCTCAGTTTTTCCGGGTCATGTGGCCAGCATGACTAAGCCGCTTCTGGCGAACCAGAGCAGCGCACGGAAACACCATTTACCTTCCCGCCAGAGCGGTACCTATTTATCTACTTGCACTTTTACGTGCTTTCAAACTGCTAGGTTGGCAGGAGCAGGGACCGAGCAATGGGAGCTCACCCTGTTGCGAGGATTCGAACCGCGACCTTCCGACCTGCAACCCCAAGGCTCAGTGGTTTAGACCACAGCGCCACCCACATCCCAATTATTTTACATACATCACATTAAAAAGTATAAATTATCCACGTTTTCAGTTCCCAGTGACAGAAATGAAAACTGAACACAAAAAGGGGACAAAACATGGCTGGATTATGTTATATTCTACAGTATCTCACAGCAATATCTCAATATCTCTCATATCCCAAGTCTGTGCGACTACAAACTGTGAACTGCCCCAAGACCTATGGATGAAGGGCAGAAAACAAATTTAATAATAACAACTTTCCACCTCCCTGTGTAGCATAAATCACAGTGCTGA